CCGAGACAACATCACTAGCACTCATGATGTCTAAGGTAAAATCCAGAGAGAGAGAGAGAGAAAATCTCTTAATGGTCCTACCTTTTCATCGTGTGAACCCTGATTGATACAATACCCCCATCCCCTTTATTATATAAATCATTTGTATAAAAACTAACTCCAATCAGCCAACATCAGGAATTTTAGATTTATTTCTTGTTTTGATTCAGTGCTCATTGAATATCTGTTAGCTATAACATTAACTTGTAGTTTGGCTTTTTATATGCCATTATAGGTCAGGATTTTATTATTTTTCTCAATGTAATCTTGCTTTGTGAACCTAATATAACTTTCACATTAAGCATGTGGTTTTAACAAATGTTGTTGTTAGGGTTCATTGATTCAGTCACAACTCATGTGAACCCAATGCTTACCAGAAGGAAACTGCATCATCCTCACAATCATTGCTATATTTGAACCCATCACTAGAGTCCTGACGTCAACCTATCTTACTGAAAGTTTTCCTCATCTTTGTTGACCTTATACTTTAACAAGTAGGTCCTTCTTAATGACATGTCTAAAGTATCTAAAATAAAGGCTTGCCATCCTCACATCTGAGGAACATTTTAGCTGTACTTATTCTGAGACACATTTGTTTGCACTTCTGGTCAAACACCCATTGCCAGTGAGTTGATTCTAACTCATAGCAACCCTATAGGATAGAGCTTGAAACACTGGTGGGCTTGAAACACTGACCTTGTGGCTCCCTGCTCAACACTTAATAAAACACTTTTTTTTTTAAAGAAAGGTGAATACATTGGTTAGCTGACTGGGATAATTTGGTTTTATGTCAACTTGACTAGGTCAGAATCCTCTCATGATGCGATCTAACAAAGTGTGGTCAATTCCGTGATGAGATCTTCTGTGAAACAGTCAAGCAGTTGTGGGAAGAATAGGGTGGCATCCTACCTCCTCAATCTGGCCACAGCCACAATATAATTGAGAGAGGTTTCGTTCAAAGTGTGATCCACTCTTAGTATAGATTGACACTGTGGGGAAGCTAGCTCACTTCTGTTGCTGGATCTGGATCCTGCATCTAGTTTATTGGCCATTCTTATCATATTGCCTATAGATCCCAGAAGCCATTAGCAGACTGCTAACTTTGGATTCATTTGACTTTGTGTTTGCCAACCTGTGTGGACTTCCTGCTTTTCTGTCCTGCTTCCTGTTTGTCAACCCCTGAAGCTACAGGAGTCAGGAGAAGCCCCCAACTTATATCTGGCCAATGGACTTAAGCTAGATTGGATTTAACTACTTCCACAACTGTGTGACTCATAGTAACCCTGTAGGACAGGGTAGAATTACCCCTGTTGGTTTCCAAAAACTGTAAGTCTTTATGTGAGTAGAAAGCTCAATCTTTCTCCTGCTGAGCAGCTGGTGGTTTCCAACTTTGGACTTTGTGGTTTGCAGTCCATTGCCTAATGAATGTGCGAGAACTTTATGGGTCAGAATTGATTTGATGGCAGTGAATCATCAATCACAATTGTGTGAGCTATTTATTGACATAAATCCCTTTCTCTATAGATACACATACAAGCGTCATTCATGTTGCTTCTCTGGAATAAAGTTTGCTTCTCAGCCTAACACACTGAGACTGACAGAACTTTGGTGAATGTTTCTGTTTTTCTAAATTGGAACTAATTCTAATGCCCAGAGACAATACTGTCAAAGCACTATATTAGAAAGTAACTCAAAATGCATGAAATTGCCATTAAAACCATGGTGTAGGTATAAATTACCCAATGGATTAAAGAAATCCAGTAGAGAGAGAAAATGTGCTTAAATTCTCTAAAGCCTTCTGTTTATACCTGCCCATCCCTTGGCTGCTCCCAATTTCACTGTGAATGATTAGAAATGGGCTTCTTTAATGTGAAACTGAGGAGCAGGTGCTCGGTTTAGTGCTAGGCATTTGGTTGAGGTAGTAACACCTCTTAGCTGTAAGGAACTCACAATCTAAGACGTCCCTATGTGTTGCTAATCTCAGTTTCTATAGCCTCCCTCTCTGATTCCATATATATATTTGCTGTTCCAGATTCTAGTTTGTTCTAGCTCCAAGTTAGTGAAAACCAAAGCAAACCAAACTCACTGCATTCAAGTCGATACCACCTCATAGCAACTCTATGGGACAGGGTAGAACTTCCCCTGTGAATTTCTGAGACTGTAACTCTTTAGAAAGTCACAGGCCCTGTCTTTCTCCTGAGTTAGTGAAGGGGTGCCACTAACCCATGAAGCTCTAGATCCTGTCCCTTGAACTAAGGGAGTATTCTTGACATCAACAATCCTCTCACAGCATTCCTCAGGAGACTGATAGAAAGCATACTTTTAGGCTATCATAGATTGGCTGCATCTCTTGGGGAAAAACACACTGCCATTAAGTTAATTTCAACCCTTTGATAGCCTCCCCCGACCTTCCTCAGCAGTAGGCCATCTCTCTTGGGAGAAATTTCCTTGCCCCAAACTCGGTCTAATCCAACATATATCCTCTAGGGCAGAACTCTCCCTTTTGGTTTCCAAGGCTGTCATCTTTGGTAGGCAGTCAAGAACTTGAACCAATGTGCCACCGAACCTCTTTGTCTCTAGAGAATGCTTTAGCGATCCATCTTTTCTGATACCACCCTTGGCTGCCCTCTCTTGGCTATGGAGTGGTTGGGTTGCTAACCACAAGTCAGTAGTTTGAAACCACCAGCTACTCCAAGGGAGAGAGAGGAGGCTTTCTAGTCCCGTAGAAAAACATAGTCTAAGAAACTCACAGGGGCAGTTCTACCCTGACCTGTTGGGTCCCCATGAGTCAGATTGCCTCGATGACAAGGAGTTTGCTTGTTCTGATTTAGCAGCATAGTTAATTCTTCAGGCCACAGCCCCATTTGATTTCTGGCACACAGAAACATAAACACACAAGATAAGAATGGAGCTATTTTGCATGCTGCAAGCCTTCATCAGTAGGCTCATTAGCTGTGCGATTATGGGCAAGTTCCTTTCTGTTTCTCTGTGCTTCACTATTCTAGCCTATGAAATGGGGAAAGCACAGCCCTTCCTCAAAGATTGCTAGGAAGATTAGGCAATTAGAACATTGCCTAGCATATACGTGTTATATAAGCACTTGTTAAAAATATTTTAAAACAGGCAAACAGGTTAGATTGCTAAGTAGGAAACAACTAGTGATGGCAAAGGAGAGAGTTTAAGCTTCTTCTAGAAAGTAGCCCTATATGTAGGAGATGGGGATTGGCATCAGAGGGACTGTGCATCCTAGATAAAGCCCCTGCTAGGTGTAGTAGCACTAGACACAACACTAAGGGTGATACATTAGCAGTTAATCTCCAAACTTGAGTCTTCATCCCTTACAAAGGCTCTGAAACATTTTCTCAAAGGGATATATATATACACACACACACATATACATATATATATAATATAATATAATTGAGCACCTACTGAATTCAAAACATATGCTATGTGCTGGGGATGCCTTAATTCACAAGCTAACCATCATTCTAGGTCAGATGAAACTTACACTTTGATGTACAAGAAAGATATTATACAGACAATTGTATAATTAGCTATTTCATCACAATTGTGAAAAGTGCTTTGAAACAGTGAAGATAATTTGTAACAGGAATCTGGTCCCATTCCTGTGGATCAGGGAACGTGTCATTAAGGAAATTGCATTTAAAGCCCCAAAGCTAAGAATTTAGACCAGCTGGTTAGACCAAAGGCTTGGTTTTGAAGAGAAAGGGGCATTCCCAGCAGAGGGAGTGGCGTGGGGAAAGGTTCTAGAATCTTTTCTTTTGGAAGAATGAAATAATCATTGCTAGCAGAGGTTTTGTAGAATCATCTCTTTCCCCCAAGGGCAGACTGCATTAGTACTACAGTGAATCCTCGTTTATCGCGGTTAATCGGTTCTAGACCCTACCGTGATAAATGGAATTCCGCGAAGTAGGATTCCTTATTTGTAAATCAAATATTTTCGTAGTTAGAGCATAGAGGACATGAAAAAACACCCTTTAGTCATCATTACACTCGTATTACCCAATTTATTAAACGAAAAAGGGAAAATACAGTAAAACATTTTGGACGTTACAATGATCATTTATTATTTATTATATTATTTATGGCATCAATCGTGTACAGTATGAGCCAATCAGTGGCAGTAATGACAGAGCATGCGCTGTTACGCAAAAACCGCGATAGAGTGAAGCCGCGGAAGTCGAAGCGCGAAGTGGCGAGGGTTCACTGTATATAATTTTATAGGTCTCACCTAATTTTAGCAAGGAATATGGAGATTATTCTGATTGGGGACTGGGAAACCTTTTTTGAAATTATAGTAAGGTATTCAAGAACGAATTAGGAATCTGTAAAAGTAAGTAGATTTGAGAATAGGACATTTTAGGACAAATAAATTACTCCAAACTTTTTTTTAATTGGCATCAACAATTTGATAGAACTTTATTTGCTTGATTTCCCTCCGCCCCCCCCTTTTTTCCCCCAGAGATCCAGTGACTGGGCATCCCATGAAATCTGCCGCCAGAAACATTCCCAATGAAACTGTCCTGCCTCCAGGTTTTGAGAAGCTGTTTTTATTCTAAAATAAATATGAGACTGGGCCATTGTCCTCTACAAAATAGCCGCGGTTTTACTTAAATCAAATCCGTTTGGAAATGCTAAGCCGGTTAGGCAGAACTAATGTGCCTCAAGGTGGTCATTCTCTCGGGATTAAAGCTGTGGAACAATTAAAGCTCCTGTTACAAGGAAAATAACAAAGGGCCATTATGAAAGGGGACAGAAATCTCTGTTCCCAGAGGGGGGGCTGACTCGCTGAAAGTCCCCTTGTACATGCCAACACAAAAGCATGATTGCCTAGGGTTGTTTGTTTATGTAAATTAAGCGGGTGTCACTAATTCTGCAAGTGGGACTGCAGAGCAACAAAAAAACGACAATGATTGGTTGGATCCATGCTCCCTGGCTGGTGAGAAATCTGGCCAATTCTGTTGCCTTTGCTCTAAACTCTGTCTGGACATCTTTAGGAAGAGAAGTTTGTTATTATGTATGAAACTGATGTTTTGAAATTACTATTCTTAGAGTAGAAGGTGGGATTAGAGGATTTCCAGGCAAAAGAAGTCATCCGATCAAGGTTCTGCTCGCTTGTTGGTATAATTTCCCTCAACATACATCATGACAGAAGTTCCAGTGACCTTCCGTGGGGCTGAGTGCAATGGAGATACACCACCTGAAAATGGGCAACAACCAACCACTAAAATCAAAGACGAAGCATCCCCTGCTGATGGCACACCACCCTACTACAGCGTGGACCCTCGTCTTGGAGATGAACCCTTAGAAGAGCCTCAGGGGGGAAGTGAAACATCACAACGGGCTCTGGTGGTCAACTCATCCCTGGATGAGACGCTCCTTCAAGGTAAAGTATCTCTGGGCTCTTCAATTTGCTTGCTTTGATTGGTATACTCACCATGGGTTCCAGTATAACAGGAATGACCTAAATATTTTTTTTAAGTTTAAAATCTATTTTTCAAATATGACCCCTTAATTTTACTAAGGCTAGATAGCCTAAGGACTAAACCTCTGCCTCAGTTCAAATCTAGAATGACCTATTTGATGGCTCTATGATATTAGAGAACGTTCTTAGTCTCAGACAGTCTCCATTTTCTCTTGACGAGCATGGTTTATAGTGCTGGTGGAAGAATTATTTAAGACTTATCCGCTTCAGTTGTCTACATAGAGTAAGTGTTGGCTGAATGTTGACAGTTGGTGACAGTGGTAGAACTCTATTAGTATTATGAACAATCTCATTATTATTTGAACAAGAGGGATTCACATTTTCAAATTCTTTTTCAAAATATATCTGAAGATGTCTAAATTAAGGGTTCTATGTTTCATGTAGATATAAAAGGGAAATTATTATTATACCCATAAATAAATGGAACCACTGAATAAATGAGTCAAGGATATTTTTAATCAGCAGAGTTAAAATGAAAAACTCTACCTAGAGTCCAAATTGATCATTTATTTTCTCTCAAACTATCTAAATGCTTAAATATTAATGCTGTCGTTTCTCCCCCTCCCAGAAAACAGAGAAGAGAACCTCTTTATTGTTCATAAGGCTATTACAGACCTTTCCCTCCAAGAAACGAGTACTGAGGAAATGGCATTCAGAGAAGGTAACAGAGCCACCATTTTGTACACAGAAATTGGAGTGATTTGAGTGACAGTTTTTGCATGTGATGTGACATGAGAATGGATTTCATGAGAGCAATCTAGACAATGTCTTAAAGGATCTCCAAGCTGCTGCAGGCAGATAAAGGAGTCTTGGCTTGTCTGTGACTTCCACCTTAGAAAGCATTCCAGATGCTGCAAGGCTGACAGTGAAAGGGCTGGCAGAGGTGACCAGCATGCTCAATCTACCTCTGATTGAGTTAGTTCACTGTGTCAGCATTTCTTTAATTTGATGTCTTTAATTTCAAATGGTACCAGGCACCTTGTGAAATGTAAATGTTTTAAAAATGGGTTTATGCAGAAAGCTGGCCATTGTCAGACAGTTTAAATTACTTTTAAAAATTAATCTATAAGACAACACTAGCTCTCTGATAGAAGCCCCAAATGGTTGCCTAATTCTTGTCAAAGAAAATTCCCAGGATGAGAAAGCTAATTTTATTTGTGCCCTTTCAGAAAATTGGAGAACAGACTAAGAGCCACAAATTCTTTAGGAGTCTGTTCGAAAAAGATGTCTACATCCAAGCAGGTGCCAAAATGAAGTACAGGATAAACTGTACTTTATTAACCATTCATTCATTTGTCATCTTGTAGGCTTAAACAGCTTATCTCAAAATTAACCATTTTATTTAAATGGTTATTAAAGTTAATTTATCTCAAAATTGAAGCCAGCTCTTTTATCCAGTTTGGTTTCATTAATATCAAGGACCTCACAGGCAAAATATTGAAGAGATGATAGATTGAACATCACACAAAATAGGAAATGCCAAGAGAACATGGGTGTGATTGGCGATTTTCTGCATTTTTCTCTTTTGCATGGATACTTCATAGACTGTCAACTGACCATATTCAATGGCTCACTGCGCAGTCTTTAAGGAAGAATATGGTGACAGTCATTGTCAGATAGTTACGTTTTCAGAGACAGTTTAGAAGATGTGTTATGTGCCTTCAAGTTGATCCTAACTCATAGTGACCTTGTAAGACAGAGTAAATAGTCCATAGGGTTTCTTAAGCTATAATCTATAAGGGGAAGAATGTAATGGTTATATATGGGCTGCTGACGAAAAGGTTATCAGTCTGAAATCACCAGTCGCTCTGCGGGGGCAAGTTGAGGCTTTCTACTCCCATAAAACGTTTCAGTCTGGGAAGCTCACAGGGACTTTCTACTCCCATAAAATGTTTCAGTCTGGGAAACTCACAGGGACAGTTCTACTCATGCCTCCTACGCTACAAAAAAGATCCATTTATTTGATTCTTGTGGGGGGAAAAATAAAGCAAAATAAATCTTAAGATTTTAACAAATCTTGAAATGTATACTTACTTAAAATGTAAAGATCATTGACTAGGCTGGATACTTACTACCTGGTAAGAGTGCGGTTTAAGTAGCTAGTGGTATTAATCCATATGTGCATATATATATATATCTTTATATATAATATATATATATCCTTCTATGTAAGTTTATAATGTAATTCCTAGAATCAAGGAAATGAAAAGAAAGCAAAAAACCTAGGATAAAAATTGATTTGTGTACATCTTTCTGTGAGACTAGAACATTGTGCGAAGAGCAAAGAAACAATGGCCTCCACCTTATTTATAGGCCATCGGGAGCCCTAGTGGGACTGTGTGTGGTAAGGCTGGCGCTTCACTGCACACTGCATGGGACAAAGATGAGGCTGTCTGTTTCCATAAAGATTCACAGCCTTAGAAACCCTATGTAGAGTGTTTCCCAAAGTGATTTGATTATTAAGCCTTTTTATTGTGTAACAAATATTAGTAACCCCCAGAATAATATCCCATGACAAACATGTTGGGAAATGCTTGTCCAAAGAAATAGCTTGGAGAATAAAAAGTGGGTATTTTGGAACTTATACATATCTGACTATGAATTGATTTTACTATAGGGCATCAGTGGGAGACGATTCCTCCAAGCAGCAAGGAGCAAGAAATAGTTAGACAGACGGAAAGGATTTGTGAAAAACCCATGGGAGTAGGAGAAGAAGCTAGAAAGAACACAGCCTACCAGACAACTGAAATTGAATGGCTGGGATTTCAAACACCCAACCAAGTCGGTGTGTTGCCTTCTGAACATGACCAGGAGCAAGAGAGTTGGGATGAAGAGACTAATGATGATGATGATGATGATGATGAAGATGAAGTTCGTGTGATAGCGTTTAAGAAAAAAAGTGAAGACGGGTCTCAATTAAAAGATGATGGCGATGCGACTGAGGACTCCCCTCTAAGCAGCCCTAGTTCCCAACCTGTGACACCAGAAGAGCATCCGACCTTGGGGAAAAAGAATGACATCTCTCGGAATGCTTACTCCCGATACAACACAATATCCTACCGGAAAATCCGCAAAGGGAACACCAAGCAGAGAATCGATGAATTCGAGTCAATGATGCATCTATAAACTAACTGGAACTCAGACATTCTCATGTGCTAAAAGCAAAGGTTACTTCTTTTTTTCCCCCCTGGATGCCTTTTTTTGAGTAATTCTCTTTAAAACATGGAAGCTTACTCCCTGTTTTGCTGTAAAATAATGCGGGAATAACCCTAGAAAACAGTCAGTCTGGTAACATCCAATCAAGAAGCATTAAATTCACTCGAGGCATTTGCTCTTAAAAACTTTATTAATAAAACCCTATGGAGCAGACACTGACTTGTCAGCACCCCAGGGCATCCTTCATGATTTGCTCTTAAAAAGTGGCAAGGTTTGGAAATGCAGTCATCAGGTGCAAGAGATGGCTTCTTGAAATGACCCCCATCTTTCTCCTGAGGTCTTTCTTGATGGATGTCCCAGGCAAGGGAAGGTCTGCAGTGAGGATGGCAATACACTTTTCAGAAGGCTTAAAATGAATATTTTAAGGGGTTTTCCTTGGCATCTACAGAGTGAAATTCTTCAGGTCTCCCAGGTGTTACCATACACTGAATTGCTCTGCAAGGGCTGAGCAGTCATCAGCAGGGAGAATTCTGTTAGCTAAATGTTGGCTTTAAGCTAGCAAGCTGAATTACACCATTGTGAGGCTGGTACAAAGGAGGAGCCAGGAAATTGGTGGGCAATGTACTAAAGAGGTGTATCCAATCGTTTTGCTTCTATGACTGAAAATAAAATCTTGCCTGCAACAGTTGAAGTCATTCAAAATGAAAAATGCCAGTCTTATCACACTTTTAAGAAACAACTCTTCTCTATTACCATACTTTCCTTTATTAACAGTTTCTCCGAATAATTTTCTTTCCTTAGAAACCTGGGACATCTGTAGTCAGAACTGTACTAGTTACTATGAATGTGGAAATAATTATCTTAGAATAATTTCAAAGTAGAGTGTAAGGATATATTTTGGGTAACAAAGTTCTGATAGTAGTTGGGAATATTTAATTTATGGGACTTCAGCCCAAATCAAGATATTTAAAAATGTGGTGATAGAGCGTCCCTCAAATCAGCATTTCAAATAATGTATATTTATGAAAAGGGAGAGTATATTTCTATTCTTACTTTGTTGCACAATTTTTGATTTCATGCTTTCATATATATGAACTCTTGTCACCACAGATAAATATATTTTGGTGGGCCTTTCAAATAAAAGGACAATTCCTTATTGTCTGAATGTAATAGGGTCATTGTACTCTTCTACCCTTTGTTTATTTCTTTCTCATTTTGTGAAAAACCCTGGCTTAGCCTTTCATAGATCATTGCTTACTTATGTGTAACAAATCCCACACTCTCTAATGGCAATTTCTTCTAATTCTTCCTGGTCACTTAATATATTTCCACAGTATCATATACTGTTAGTTTTAAAAGACTCAATTTTGAGATCAGGACCTAGCACTCCTTCTATGCCTTCAGAGAACTAACAAATGAGCTATATAGAAATTCTTAACCCGGAACCTGTAGGCTTTATCCCCCACAATGCAACTTTTTAGAATGCATCCTAAGGTCTCTCTTGCCAAAACCAGGGAGAAGATTGGTGCACTAAGATAATTTCCTGATTAATACAGATCTTCCAAATCCTTTCACTTGGACACCCTAAGTTCGCTATTTGGATTATTGATAACCCTTATAATTTTCAACTTCACTTCAAATTCGAGCATGTGACTGCACCACATTGTGAGGCTAACCTCGATACAATGTGCATGTTGACTTGTTCCCGTAGAACTTTACAGAGTTGTGAAGGAAGTCTATGCCATAGGAAAGCAACCCATTCGTATGGGTTTTTAACTCATAGGAACCCTGGTCTTTCTGGCTTTGTACTCTGTTAGATGATTAACCATAGTGAAACTGTCTTGTTAACAAATATTATTTCAGAGTATATTCAGTCAGCAAATGCTTAAGGCGTATGGGTGAAGCAATGAAGTTGCAAATGACCACTGAAACTATCCTTTGCCATTGGTACTCATTGTCCTACTGTCATCTTACACCAAGGCCCTAGAGTTAAATAACCTTAAGCAGCATGATGGTGATGGAGGCTGTTAGGTTGTTTTTAACCTAGGAGTGACAGGGGTCTCCTTCAGTTGGCAAGGGGACATTTCGATTGTTTGAAGCTCCAGAGGGAACTTGGAAACTTCCATGGTCCAGGAATGGAGAGAAGGGCTTTCATGCCACGTAGGTAGAATATGGGGTTCTGATATTTCCCTGCATGACTTTTTGTTTTCCTTAGCTGTGGGAGGAACAAGAATTAATAACAGTTCTATTTCTCTGGCAGTATAAATTTACCTTTTACATAACACTATCTTGAATGCACAGAATATATGTTAAAAACAAAACTCACTGCCATCATATAGATTCCAATTCATATTCATGCATGCATATATATACACATATATATAACACTTTAAGTAAAGTAACACTCTGTCCAATTTGTGTTCAATAAAAGATTGTGTTCTGATTTGTGGTTTCTAGACTTTTTTCTGTGGTTTCCGATGGATATTTAGGACTTTAGCATATCAGAGTCTACAAAGGCCAACAACGAGTATCTTGTCCGAGACCAAGAGAACACCACCCTACTTTAATTTACTTGCATTATTTAAGATGTTTTCAAAATGATTGTACATGTAGCTATAAAAATAATTTCTAGAACATTTATATAAGTTGTATAGGTCCTGATTTATTAGTTTAGGTGCATCTTAACTCCAACCACTTGCCTATATCTGCATAGAAAGGCAATCCATGTAAACCACAGTGACACTTTTATAGTAATTGTCTCTGCTGATTTACATTTGGTAGCACTCTTGGCACATTTTCAAATGTAGGAGAGACATTAAAATTTTTCAAAGTGATAGAATAGAAAACTATGGAAAAGAATGAAACACCAGAGCATCCTAAAGAAAAAAATATGCTTAACCATGTGAGAAAAGCAACGACTTCTCTTACAGCCTGGACTTTCATTGCTCCACAAAAACAAGAATGCTATTAAACGTAATGTCACAAGTTCCAGCAAACATTTGCTAATATTAAGATATCAGACAGTTGCATAACAATAAATAAGAAGACACAGTGCATATACAGCTCATGAAGAACAATATGTGATCAGGCCATAGAATAAACACTAATACTAATATTGATATACTGATGGGCTTCAGAAAGCTCCCAGATACACAGTAACTACAAAATTAATTGATATAGTAAGTCACTACCATCTCTGGAGAAGTCTTAGAAATAACTGTAGAAAGTGGTCTGAATTTTTCCAGAAGTTTTATATCATCTATTTGGTTCTCTTATAAAAATAATAATTCAGGTAATCAGAGGTAGAGAAATTGGGTTATTAAAAAATAATCAAGGGGGAACCAATTGCAATGATCAACACATAACACACACACACACCCTTAGAGGGTAATGAACAACAGAAACATGGGTGAAGGGAGACAGTTGTTGGTGTATGAAAATAATAATAATTTATAATATATCAAGGGGTCACAAGAGTGGAGGGTGGGGAGGGAGAGAAAAAAGAGGAGCTGATACCAAGGGCTCAAATAGAAAGTAAATGTTTAGAAAGTGATGATGACAACATAAGTACAAATATCCTTGATACGATTGATATATGGATTACCAGAAGAGCTGTAAAAGTGCCCATTAAAATTATCTTAATAATAATAAAGTTTTAAAGACCAAAAAATATTTAAAGTAAAATCTAATCTATCTTTATTCTGTAAGTTTCAGTATAGTTCTTTCAGTAACAAATGCTTATCAAGGAAACAATAATGAAATTCATGGATTTGATGACCCTCTCTTATTTTCAAGTCGACCTCCTATAACTAATATGTATAAAATTAGAGAAATTTGGGCAACTGCTTGAAAGAGAAGCACTAAGCCATGTGTATAATCCTAAACTAAATTATAAGTGTCCTGATAACTTAGAGTATCCAGAGCAAAATAAAATTTAGTCCGCTTCAGGTATTTCTGTCCAAAAGTTCAGACACAGTCAATTAAAAGAGAATTAAAATATTTTTTGAATTCTAATTTTTCTTTGTTTTAAGTAGAAGCCTCTAGTTTTTCTTGCATGCAATTCAGTGCATCAAATAAAGAAATCCTCGCTGTATATTTATAAACATTGATTTGTGTTAAATTGTCAGGTAAAGGCTGTATTTGTGATATGAAAATAGTTTTAATATTTAAAGAAAAGTATTGATATTTACAGATAGCTATGGCCAATATCTTTAAACTGGCACATATTTATCATTAAATAATGTAGAAAACTTCTATTTTCAATGAAATTCTTTGTTACATACGTGATACTAACTTAGAATCTCAGCATGTTACACGTTGTTTTATTTGCTAGAAAAATGAGAAATTTTAGTTGTGCTTTGTGTGGAGAAGAAAAGATTCATATAAATTTGTGAAGATTTCCTAATTGGAATGGTCGCGATTGTTACCCATTCAGTGAAAAGCAGAGGAATTAGTGTGATGACATTTTTCTCCCTTTCTTTCTTTTACACACAGGTACCACCATCACATGCGCAACCATTTATTAAGCCTCATCAGGGATGTATGATATTTTATATTGCTTGTTCAAACCTGGCCACAAACTGGCTATTCACTAAAAATACGTGTTTTGTACAATTTCTTTGATTTGTGTGTTTATTTTTCTAATTTCAAGACATTTTGGTTTACAGCAAGCATTGAGTTACGAGTGGAAAATCAAAATCATATGGAAACAATCTACTCAATGAAGTGAACTTAAAAGTCATGGCTTGTCCCTTAAATGAAGAGACTTTTAAATTTCCATGCCCCACTGTGTTCAGCTTCAGCGATCTGTCAGCTTTGTTTAGTACACCAAGAAAGAGTCGGCCCTGCAGCTGACAGAAGAGCAGCCTCCTACCAATCCTCTTCTATGTGTATTTTTTCCAGGAGATGAACTATAAAGGTTCCTACATCAAGCTTTTAGATGAGCGAGACACATTGTAGTGAAGCTTACACATGAATTGTTGAATAGAGCACTCTGGCTTGTATTTTCTCTCTCTTCAAAATCAATGAGAAATCACAGGTTTTGATTCCACCTTCTTGCATTATCTTGGACCTCAATATCAATAATCTGCCATTAAGGGGCTGTAACTGAAGTCACCTGGGTTGACTTGTTTATGTGTGTGCATGTGTATGTGTGTGCGTGTGTATGTGTGTGCATGTGTATGTGCATCTATCTAATAGATACAGACATATTTATTTGTGGTTTGACTATCTTGCTGTCCAACATTTCACATTTATAACAATTGTTAGAAAAGATCTAGCTTGTTCACTAATGAAGTTTGGTAGTAAGGAATGTTGAAGTGCTAGCTGAGAGGAGCCATGACGGTAGTGGCTAGGGTCACGTGATCAGCCTGGCTGGGCCATGAGGCTCAGTGAGTTGGCAGTTACATAATGATCTGTTCGGCAGTCTGGCAGTGATATAGTCATCTTTTGTGACTTTATATTGTCATCATCCACTTTGCATAACACCAATTGATCATGTTGATAAGTGAGGAGGAAGGGTGGATGTACAAGGGGCACAAAATATCGTGGAAAATACAATGAAAAAGTAATGGCATTGCCCCACTAATGTTGAAGCCCCTCATATATATAAATCATAGTAGCATAGCCTAGTCCCCAAATTCCTCTTAGTTGTTTTCCTGTTTATTTAACTGGGAGACTGAAAGTTACTCATCAAATTACCACATAGTAAGTAATCAACTATAATTGGTTCCATTTAATTGTCCTCATTCCTTGGGTTTTCTTGTTTTTGTCCAAAATAAAAGGACCTTAATCTGAAGCATAATTTATTTCCTGTGTCCCAAATATGAAAATTAGAGATGTTAAGACAATTAAAACTCAAAGAACCAAACTCCCTGCCATCGAGACAGTGCCACGCACAGTGCCCTCGTGGGACAGGATGAAACTGCCCCCGTGAGTTTCTGAGACAGTAACTCTTTATGGGAGTAGACAGCCCCATCTCTTTGCTGAGGAGCGGCTGGTGGTTTCAAACTGCTGACCTTTGAGGATTACAGCCCAACGCATGACCACTACATCACCAGGGCTCCTCGCACGATGAAGATGGTGCCAGATGGTGCACCTTGGTCCCATTCTTTTGCATGAAAAATAATTTCAAGGCATTCCTGACATCAAGATTGACTGGAAAAGTTTAATTTCTATACACTATAACTGATGCCCTTCCATAATCCCTAAGACTGGTTCTCAACCTTCCTAATGCCGTGACCCTTTAATACACTTCCTCACGCTGCGGGGACCCCCCCACAACCATAAAATTATTTGTATTGCTCCTTCATAACTGTAATTTTGCTACTGTTATGAATCTGGTGACCCCTGTGAAAGGGTTGTTCGACCCCCAAAGGAATTGTGACCCCCAGGTTGAGAACGACTGCCCTAAGATGATGCCAGAGTAAGAAGGCCTTTTACTCTCGAAGAGAATGTTTCCCATTCGGTGTGCTAAAGCTAACCACGTTTTCTGATCACAGCACACGGCCGTTTGTAGGTCTGCAAATGACAAACTATTGAACGTCAGCCAGCAGAGTTGAGTAAATTTGATACTGGGGGTCAAATATGACTACCAACAACAGCTGTGCCCTTTTGTGGGGAGTGGGGTGGAATCTCTGGGCCACTGTTGAAGAAAGAAAGGGATTCAGCAAACGGACAGGTCCCAAACACTGTAATAGACGGTGAGCTAGCTTTGGCTTAAATCAGCGCTGCCATATTATCAAGACTGTCAGCATGTTCAAGGCAACAAGTCAAATAGACACCTTTCCAAGAAAACCAACAATGAACCAAGTCAAGGCAGGAAGAGTTCTGCTACCAATAGTACAGATCCCTGTTGAAGACCCTTGAAGGCATATGAGGACTCTCATACTCGTGTGTATCATCTAAGGCAGCGGTTCTCAGCCTGTGGGTTGAACAGCCCTTTCACAGGGATCGCCTGATTCATAACAGTAGCAAAATTACAGTGATGAAG